AAGAAAATCAATACCTGTACAAAATCCAAGGCTGATTTTACCAGCTGGTTAAGATATGCAGGGACATCAATTTCAAATAAGCTTCTGATGGGAAGGGAAATAATCAGATCGTTGGTGCTTATTACTACCAAAAATACACTGTTGGTGATTAATTTCTGGGCACCTTCGTCCCCGATATTCCTCTTGAGCTCCCCAATGTATTCTTTGAAGTTGTCCAATTGATCTGATAGTGGTATAGCACCCTAATTGTTGTACACCCAAAGAAAAACAAATTAAGCAAAATAATTGCCTGCTGATGGAAAGGGTAGAAAGGAAAGAGTTCTACTAAAAGCACGATATGCATACATACCGATAATGTGTTTGTTAAATCATCATAGCCACAACCACCAGAAGCAAAACTTACACCTGAACGAAAATCTTCTTCTTGTAGGGAAGGGTCTAAATATGCTGGAAGATACTCCTTCACTCCCAATGCCTCGGCTTAAATTTCATACCAAACAGTTGCAGTTTTGTCAGTCAAAATGATTAGAAATTACTAAGGTATGCATGTGCTACAGTACGCTGATCCTCTAAATCCTTTACATCTTGTAGTGTTTGCGTTTTCTTTGAAGTTCTTTTTTCAAACAACGTTCAAAAAATTCAGCAAATTGTTTTAATTTTGATTTTCTTCGTACTTGGTTCTTGGTGAGTCACACACACTGGAAGTTCGTGTGATGAACGTGAATGGGACAGTTTGCCTAGTAAGGGGCCGTTTACCAAACACTTATCACGGTAAGTACTTAATTACCAAGTCATATTACCGTACTGGATGAATATGGCAAAGACCAAAAAWTTTATTCGGTAAGAGCGAGCCATGGACACCGARAGTYTTACCMGGTAAAGWCTTATCGGGTAAGTGAAATAGGGGATTAATCTATATAGACCATTTGGGGAAAAAATCTTACTGAGAATATCAGCTATTGTTCTCCCATTGGAGAATCTTCCAGTTGGCTTTCCACCCTCAAAATCCTGTCCATAAGGAAGGAAATTAGCCTTGCCCAAAGTAACGATATAGTTATTATTCCCTTGATCAACGAAGGAGTCTCCGAATGCTAAGACCGCTGACACGGAGACATTTTCTGACAGAGTTATTGCTTCCACCCCGCTGCATAAAAATATACCAGAAAATAGACAAAGAAGAATGGCCTTGACAACTGAATGATGCATGGAGAATATACGATTTTAATTGAAATATTTGTTATGCAGTTTAAATGGCAACATGACTCCTTTTATAGAGATAAAATGTGTGTAGTTGTACTTCTTCCACGTTTAAATTTCCCAATTGCAATTTTCCATGTTTAAATTTGCCAATTGCAATTTTCACGTTTCTTACTCGTACTTTTGGCCGGTTATATACTTGCACTTCTAAACTTTGAGCGATGCTCTGAGATATATTAGAAAATACAAAGAACATCTTCTAAAACAACTAAAAGAAGTTCCTTGAAATCAACAAAAAAACCGACAAGTCCATTGAAATCAACCGAAAAATTTTAAAAATCCATCGAAAAAGTGGAATTCAACTAAAATCACGTTGAACATTTAACAGACTTTTGATCCATTTTAAAGGTATCTCCGCTATCCAGCAACATCCTATTACATTTGAAAAGTAATCTTAATATAACTAGATCCATACCTTCTTCTCATTGTGGGGTCCAATCAATTCACAAGAAAACCGTAGTGTGTGGCCCAAATAATTTTTAACAATAAATGTTTGACACGTGGTAGATAATTATTTATATATTTTTTATGGTCATAAAAAAACCATTTGTTCATTTTCGTCTAATAATAATATTTAATATGAATATGATGTTTTTTCTAACGATATTTCACTTGTTTAGGTTTTGGTATTACAAAGTAAACTATGAAATTTATGATTTCGATGGAAGAATGATTTTTTATGAATATTTTTATTCGTGAAATAATGATCTTTTGTAAACATGTTTAATTTCTGATATTATAATTTTTAGTAAGCATATTTGATTAAATTTACTATGTTTAAATGATAAATACTGTAATAGAAATTGGTGATAATATGATAAATTAATTTTGAAAGGACGATCGTCGTTATTATTTCAAATTAGGATGTACAGTGCGATTTTATATAAACCACATGGAGAAAATTTGTAATTTACGCTTATTTAAATGATATAAAATATTGAAATTAAAAAACAAAAATAACATAGTTAAATAATTAAGTAACATATCTATATATATATATATATAGAGAGAGAGAGAGAGAGAGAGTAGAGATCGTTTAAGATCAATTAAAGAAATATACACGAGTCTATACGTAACTGGTTTAATTAGATTACTAGAACAACATAATTTACATAATTTTTTATAAGAGGAACACTACTATAAAGTAGAATATCATCGATGACAATATTGCACCAATAATCCCTCGTTACAAACTTTACCGATGGTTTACCAATGAAAAACACTCATTGGATAAAAATTGGTTGGTAGATAATACGTACTAATGATAATAATCAACGATGTACACATTCATTGGTAAATAATCACTAAAGTAATTTGATACTTTTGGAAACAAATAATAAAACTACTTTTAGAAATGAAACTTAACGACCAATATTAAAGAGAACATCAAATAATTAATTGAAAATATGAAAAACCGAGGAACACTATGGTATCTGGATGATATGCACATGTAGATGGTCACTGGTAATCTACCAAATGCATATATTCTATTGACAGACAGTCGAAAACAAGGTCGATGCATTATATATCTCACGCTAACAATTTATCTCATCAAATAAATTTTAATGGATCATCGTAGAACAAACTATTCATCAATTTTGGTAGAATAAGATTTATGAAGATTTCACTTCCTTCCTCTGATAGGTGGATACTATCCCAAAACAAGTATTTAGAGTCGTCGTAGCACGTAGAGATGAACCTGTTGCATGAAAAACCCACCTCTATGTTTCCGGTTCCACAACAGCCTCTATTTGTAACTTCCAAGCCTGGGGAAAACAAAGAAAACAAAGGAAAACCTTGTTAAATGTAAATGTACAATTGTGCAAATGTGGGACAGAAATTGCAGAAGATAGAGATGAAAATTTTCACTGAAGTTGTGAATGGGAACATAAATGAGAACTTATATAAAACATATAACTAATTTTCACTGTATATTCACTGTTTGAACAGCACATGTATCAGGTTGAAAAGAGGGGGGGGGAGGGGAGTAGACTTGGTTTTTTGTTGGGTACTTACACTTCCCATTATAAAATCAAGGTATGACTATGACCATTGAGAGACAAAATGACAAATGATAAACAGATGGGATTTTAAGAAATCTGCAAAACTATAAACGTAGAAGCTCTATTTAAGAGAGAACTAATTAGTTTGTGATAATTGTGAGATCCAATTTCAACTATAAATCAATTAATGGATAAATTAGGAAACTAATATTTTTGATAATTTGACTTAAAATTATAATTAAAGAGTATTTTAGATATTTTAATTTTTTTATCTCTCCCCCTCTCTCTCTCTCTCTCTCTCTCTCTCTCCTAGCTCCGGCCTCCGAGAACACCATGTGATACCCAAAATACACCAAGATACATAATGTGATACTCAAAATATATACAATGTGATACCCAAAATACACCAAGATACACAATGTGATACTCAAAATATATACAATGTGATACCCAAAACACACCAAGTATACTTTGAGACCACGGTGATACCAACCGTGATACCACTATGTTATACAAACTACGGTACCACTTTGTGATACCAACTGTGGTACCACTTTGATACAAATTGTGGTATCACTATGTTACCTATGTTGTATACATATGTATGTGTGTGCACTGTGTGCACAATGTTTGTTGTACATGTGCAGTGCGTGCATGCAATGTGTATGTGTGGAGTGTGTGCATGTGTGTTGCAGATGTGGAAGTTGGGTTGGAGAAGAAGGTTGGGATGGAGATGAACACAGGTGTGGAGGGTTTTCCCGAATAGAGGGTGATCGATGAGGGTGTTTGAGGGAGGGGGGGATCGAGGGGAATGTCGATGGAGATGGTGGTCAGTGGCGCGGATGGGGGAAGGTTGATAGGTAGTGAGGGGGTCATAGGGACAAAGATGAGGCTAGCTGTTGGGAATGCTCACAGGTGGGTAGTGGTCGATCATCGGAGACGGCGTCTTCGTCAGAAAATATGATCGAATGAGGTCACCGAAGTGGTGTGGATGCCGGAGAAGGCCACCGAATTTGGTCTCTGCATGTTCGTGTGTGTGTATATATACATATACATATATTAAAGTAATTAAAGTAAATTGGAATATTAAACTAATTAAAGTAAATTAAATAATCAACACAATTTACTAATTTATCCTTTGTTTTATTTTAGTAAATAACATTAATTATCTAAAATGCTTGGCTCATATTAGACCTCATAATTACCACAAACCATCTAGTTCTTATTTGATTAGGAACCCCCCCCC